GAATGTGTGACGTGCGCAAGCAGATGGAATGCACCACAGGGTGGGGTGGGGGAAAACACAGCGGGCGAGTTAGCCGAGAGCCCTTTCTTTCTGATCGCCAACGCCGAGCTGTCAGTCCACATCGCTAGATCTAGCGCTAGAGAAACAAACCTGATTCGATTTTTGATCAAGTAAAACCTCGAGGTCATGTGGAAACAAAATCATCACCAGGGGAGATAGCAAAAGGAAATAAACAGAACACCAAACTCGTAGATTAGGCCTACTTTACAGTTTCCCTGGAATTTATTACTGGATCCCTGATAGTTATAGCGAGAATCCTGCTATAACGGACATTTTGCTCCGGTCCCCTCCCTCTTGTTATAACAGGATTCCACTGTAACTTCAATAGCTTGGGAGTCTGTGAAAACTTTAAAAATTACGTATTTTGTGCCTTTCATCAAAGTTTTTCAGTAACTTTCACATATGGAAATGTGTCTTTCTATGAACATAAAAGGTGTCGGCCCAAAAAAACAAAAGTTGGATTAATATTGCCAAACTGACTGAAAAATGCCAGTTTCTTCGATGTCATTATTTTATCGAGCGCCTGATTTCACCAGACTGCTGATGCGTCCGCTATGTCCTCCGAGAGTTAAAGGTAACTGCTCACCAATAACAGCAGAGGCGGTAGGCCTACAATGTCTGGGTCAGAATACCCTCCAACTCATCTCCTTTTTATAAATCGTAACTTTAGAATTACAAAGTTCTGTCTGACATTTTTGGCCGGTTTGAGTTACTAGGACCACGAGGTCAGAAACCAAATGTTCTCTATGTCTGCTGTACTGAAATCGTAAGATTATTCCGAGTCGTTATCAAGATATTCAAAGAAATGCTTTCGAGAAAGCTTGACATTAGAAACTCAAAATTTTTAATGTCAAATTTCTCATAACTAGGCACTGAGATGATACAACTTGGTAACTCTGAGGTAGTAAAGTGACTACTGGTCGGCTGGACTTTATGGTCCGACCCGATACTGTTTTTTAAGTCCATTTCTTGATTCGACTATTGTCGAATGTCCTGAAATTTTTAACTTCACGTGAAAATCAGAATGGGAAAAAGATCCAAGTCACAAATCTCTAGTCTTTGAGTTCATGTCTAATTAAGCTTGTTTCCTGCTTCTGGAGTTCAGTCTGAAAACCTGGTCATCGGGGGCAGTCACCCAGGAGTTAGCCACACTTTTTTAAAAGATGGTTCAGTACATAAACAAAGTATGCTAAATTTTTAACCAAACTAAGAATTAGATTTTATCTGAACCTCATAATGTGACTTTGTCAATATAAACAGTCGAACCTGCATATATACATATATATATATCTATTTATATACACACATCAGGCGCTAGTCAGTTTTTGGGCATGTTGAGTTATTCTCCGTTTTCGTTATTTTGACGAACGCCTGATTTCACCACGCTGCCGTACATAGGTATATATATATATATAAATGTATATATATGTATGTAT